TATATATACATATATATATATACATATATATATACTATATATATACATACATATATATATATATATATATATATATACATATATATATATATATATATATATATATATATATATATATATATATATATATACATATATATATATATATATATATATATATATATATATATATATATACATATATATATATATATATATATATATATATATATATACATATATATATATACATACATATATATATATACATACATATATATATATATATATATATATATATATATATATATATATATATATATATATATATATATATATATATATATATATATATATATATATATATATATATATATATACATATATATATATATATATATATATATATATATATACATAGGTCATGATATAAAATGTATATATATATATATATATATATATATATATATATATATATATATATATATATATATATACTAAGTCTGATAAAAAAGTATCGCTACTGTCTCTGTGGTAAAGTAGTGAACGTACGCAGAGTGAAGCCGCTTGACTCAAATTGATCTTGCCTCTGTCGCACATATACACTAAGTTTTGACGTTCTCGCTATCTCTCTTGTTTGTAGTCGTGCTTCGAAGGAAAGTGTGTTTCGCCACATCACAGGATTTCTATTAGTGACCATGTCTTGTGCAGCAATTTTTAGCCAAGCGCAATATTCTGCAAGTTCGTCATCCACAATATTTCCCTCATCTCTCACCTTGCGACATTTTCCTCTTCAAAAATCAAATCCCACTTGAAAGAAACCCGATTTCAAAACGTCGAGGAAATCGAAGAGACTACAACGACGTATTTCATGAAAGGAGTTCTATGAATGCTTTCAGCAATGGGTAAAGCGTGTGGCTTTATAAGGGACTACTTCGAAAAGAGGATTAAATGCCAAATTGACATGTAGTTTTCTTTTTATAGAATCAGTCCCGGTACTTTTGATCAAACCTAATATATATAAACAAGGTCGTAAAACCTTTGATTTTAACAATCATCTTTCCCTCATCGATCTATTTCTGTTTTGCCACGGACACTTTCAAAACTCATGCTTACTAAGTACACAAATCCAAGTGTTTAAGTCAAATGAAAACTTATAAATTCAAGCTACCGCTTTAAGTTATTATGAAAACGAACTAGAATACACTGAAATGCCATCTCTCATTACTACTTTCTCTTTTTTGCCTCTGAAGTCTTCCATTTTACTGACGCACATATGACTACGCATTTGCAAAATTTACGCAGAGACTCGCATTTTTAAACAAATAAATTCAATACATCTTCACAAAATAATAAAAAGAAAACGAGCCGTTTCTTGTCTGCTTACGTACACAATCACCATTTAAAACACAGCTATATTGTGCGCAAAAATATATGCGCATGCGCGTATACCTCGATTTAGTGACGTCACTCACTGAAAGTTCCTTTTTTCTTTTTTTTTTCTTTTTTTTTCTCCTGAATTCTGATTTCTGGCCTATCACTTAGCATCAATTTATTTCAGATCGTGAAACATTTTAACGATCAACGATAGACAAAAAGAAAGAACGAAAAATGATAGGAGAGAGAAGAAAAAAAAATTAAAGACAAGAGAGAATATTGAATGAATAAGTTACTGAGAGTAATAGACAAAATTAAACAAATCTTCAAATGGAAAAAGAAGTACACAAACAGACACACACACATATATATATATATATATATATATATATTTACAGTAGCAAATACATCAAATGAATTACTGGCAAGTTAAGTGGGTAATTTTTGTTGCTGATCCATTTCTTTCTTACTTGCAGTTTTCATTGGTTCGTACACGATAGATTCCATTCAATTAAAGAAATTCAAGCAGATAAGATATTAAGTTTATAAATTTACGAAAAAGAAAAACAATATACATGGCTGAAACTAAGAACGTTAATCGTATGAACGCAGACAAATAGAATATACAAATAAAATTTCGGCAAATGGACACTGATTTTAAATTCAACCTTCTATCAACTAGTTTCTCTGTTCCGAACAGAAAAACCAAATCGCGAAATCGATAATCAAATGAAAGGCCGAACAGGACTGATTTGTCATCTCTTTTTTTTTTCTCTCAGAATGATAGATATTCGAAGAAAGTTAGTTGAAGACACAAGCATCGCCCACTCTTCCTCGTTAGCAAACTCCCACATCCACTGCGCGGAAAATTACAGTTATGACCCGGTTTCGCATTGGACGCCTTGGGATTATAGCGAGCGAGTCTAGTTGATCATTACAATTAAATAATGAGACTTACCCTCATTGACAGCTTTATACTCGTGGCCTTATGCCAAACTATGTTAAGCGTATTAAATAAAAAGAACGAATCTTATCTACACTATTTACACGCGGATTATTGTCCTCGTCCTTGTTGTTGATATCACAATGCTTCGGTCGATTTACCCCCCGCCTTTCATCTCTATCTATAAAAGGCAGGATGTGTGTGTGTGTGTGTGTGTGTGTGTGTGTGTGTGTGTATGTAACGAATGCACAGCCGCAATTTTCGACGGATATGCACCAAAATTTGCATGCGCATGTTCCAAGTTATCAAAAAGGCCAAGACCGACATTGCATTTCCCAACTTCCATCAATAGTGGAAATAATCGATTTTTTCATGCTTCTACGGCAGTTTTCATGAAGTTTGCGGCCATTTTCTACTGGCCAGAGTGAGAGCCTATAGATGGCTGCCATGAATAGGCAGGAAGATTCTATTGGCCAGCATGAGAGCCAACAGCTGACTGACACGAATGTTAACTAGCATGCTAGCATGCAAAAAAAAATCGATTGCTGCATTCGTCACAAGTGGGAACAATTTAAATCTGCATGACACTTTACTCCAATTGGCTCATTCGCTTGCTTAAACTCAACGTTGATTCTGATTCCGCAGAACTGGGTTGGGTGTGAAAAAGTATTTGTTGTTAACATTCTTTTTTCATTCGGTTTTTCCAGTTACGAGTCCTTTTTAAAGCTGATCGTTTTTTGTTCATTTTTTTTTTCGTAACAGATTTAATGTTTTGTATAGGTTTTAGAAAAAATTCGCAGTGTGAGATAGGCAAGAAGTAAGGCATGTAGCAACATCAGCACGGCAAAGGACACTCCTTTAAAGACAAGGAACGGCAAAAATATTTTAAGTCAAGTGATAGCGATTGCTGTATGAGTCGTACGATTTTTGAATCAAGCACGGGCAACGCCGGGCCATACTGCTAGTTAGCTATATATCTATCTGAGTAACCAACAGGGAATTTCAAACTGAAACCTTTATTTAATCTACCTGGGTAGTTTGTTCTCGTATCACTGTTTATGTTTAGGGATATCTCCTCTTTTTCTTTTTCTTTTAATTTTTAGTATTGTCCTTTTTTTGCTCTGTTTCCACTGATTTAACTACACTTGGCCATGAGTTCACTTTGTCACCAATGACAGCGAACATATACGTGGAATACTTCGAAGAACTGCCCCTCTAAAGCCAACAGTTTAGATGGGATACTTGCATGAAACCTTAAAACACTGGCTACATCTGGAAGTTCAACAAAATATTGCTGGGTTATGTGAACTCAATAAGATCTTCGTTTCAGTTCACAATGAAAGAAGAAAATAATAAACAGTTAGCCTTTCTAGAAGTAGTAATGACTCATACGGAGAATAGGTTCAAGACATTCGTATATCACAAGTCATCCATAAACGGACAGTTCAATTCCCAACATTCATACAATATGAATATTCCACAAGTAAATAGCGTAAAAATGATAACTCGTCATCCAAAAAATTCAAATAGAAAGAGCGAATCTGTTTATGGACAGATGATATCATTATTACTGAATACTGAGTCTTATCTTCATTAGCCCTCCCCAATTTTGGCCTTGTGTCAAACTAACCAACTAATAATAAGTAACAAGAACGGGTCTGCTTTTGTGCAACTTCAGATGGCATCATGCTTAGCAAGCGAATCTGGTTGATCATTACTACTAAAAAGTAATACGGATAATCATTAGAGATCACGTACATGAAGCCTTGTGCCAAACGCATGAAAATATCAGGAACGGGTGTCTATGAGTGGGTAATGCATAACGAACCAGTGTAGTTGATCATTACCAATGAATTCTCTATGTATAGCTTGCCATTCATATTCGAGGATACCTGTCTACTAGGGCGGCGAGTCAATCCCTATTGCAGATGCTTACTCAGTCGCTTGCTCAGGCGAATTCAACACCCACAGAGCCCACCTGTGGTTTATACTGCAACTATGCTGAGTAAACCTTAGCTACAGTTTCTGGGAAAGAGCGTGTTATCTGGCGTGATTAACAATTTGAACAAGGCCAGCATGCACAAGGCTTCGGCCACGATGACTTGTGACTTCGTGCTAGTACAGCTATGGAAGGCTCCCAAGGGTTCCGTCTGCATAATTTCACTGACAAGTTTGGCTCAACCTGTGGTATGGTTTTCAAGCACAATTCCAAAGGTGTCGCACGCTGGGGTCGACCCCTCGAGTCCGGTAAGATCCGAAAATCTCCTTCCCGACAAATCGACTGTGGTTAGATTCGAAACCGGGTCTTATTGTCAGAATGCGAACATTCTAACCACTCAGCCACTATAGTTGTGACCTTATGACAAACAAAGTTAGCATTCAGTAACACTCTGTGGCCTTGTAGCAAGTGAAAATTCGTTTTATAAATATGAATGGAGGAAAAAAAATTGGAATAGCAGGAAAGATTAAAAAATATTGATATCGACTTCATTTTAACCGTTCGGCATCCTGGCCTAATGTAAATATATATGCAAGGTTGGGGAGGGCGCAGTATTCGCGAAGGTATTAAATAATATATCATGTGTCGCATATTTCACCAAGTATTAATAGGTGCATTAGATGCATATTAAATTTACTTACAGAAAATTAATGAGGAAAACGAAACAAAATAGATCAAAATAATGAAAGAACAGTAATGGATTCAGAAAGAAAGAAAGTCTTCGAAAGAAAGAGAGGTATAAAAATAAAGCGAGAGATTAAAGGAAAGAAAGAATCTATTAGAAAAAAGGTAGGCGCAAATGAAAGTTACCAACATGGCGATGAAAAAGAAAGGAGAAGATATGAAAGAAAGAAAGAAAGAAAGAGAAAGAAAGAAGGAAGGAAAGAAGGAACGAAAGAAGGAAGCTTTAAGAAAAAGAAATAAAAAAGAAAGAGCGAAAAAGAAAGAAAGGAACAAACAAATAAAAAGAAGGGATTTTAATTTATTTAAAAAAAAAAATCTATAAGAAAGGAAGGGATACACAAATGCAAGTTCCCGACATGTCAATGAAAGAGAAAAGAGAAGGTATGAAAGAAAGAAAGGAAAATGTAAGAAATAAAGAAAGAAAGAAAAATAAAGGAAAGAAAACAGAAGGGAAATTCAAGAAAGAAAGAGAAAAAAGAAAGTGAAAGAGAAAAAGAAAGAAAGAAACAAACAAAAAAGAAGAGGTTTTCATTTTTATTCCATTAATCAACAAAATGAAGAACAAATACATAAAAGTGAAACAAGAAAGAACAGAGGTAAAGAAAGAAAGAAAGAAAGAAAGAAAGAAAGAAAGGACAAAAGAAAGAAAGAAAGAACGTATAAGCAAGAAAGGGAGACGTAAATGAAAGTTCTCAACATGGCAATCAAAGAGAAAAAGAGAAAGAAAGAAAAAGTAAGAAAGAAAGAATGAAAAAGAGAGAAAGAAAGAAGGAAACTGTAAGAAACAAAGAAAAAAGGGAAGTCAAACGGAAAAAGAAAGAAAGAAAGAAAGAAAGAAAGAAAGAAAGAAAGAAAGAAAAAGTACTAGGTCTTCATTTTTACTTTTTAATAAACAAAATAACGAAAAATACATAAAAGTGAAGCAAGAATGAATAAGGAGAAAGAAAGAAAGAAAGAAAGAAAGAAAGAAAGAAAGAAAGAAAGGACAAAAAGGAAGAAAGAAAGAACGTATAAGCAAGAAAGGGAGACGTAAATGAAAGTTCTCAACATGGCAATCAAAGAGAAAAAGAAAAAGAAAAAGAAAGAAAGAAAGAATGAAAAAGAGAGAAAGAAAGAAGGAAACTGTAAGAAACAAAGAAAAAAGGAAGTCAAACGGAAAAAGAAAGAAAGAAAGAATCAAACAAAGAAAAAGTACTAGGTCTTCATTTTTACTTTTTAATAAACAAAATAACGAAAAATACATAAAAGTGAAGCAAGAATGAATAAGGAGAAAGAAAGAAAGAAAGAAAGAAAGAAAGAAAGAAAGAAAGAAAGAAAGAAAGAATATATAAGTAAGAAAGGGAGACGCAAATGAAAGTTCTCATCATGGCAATAAAGGAGAAAAGAGAAGCTATGATAGCAAGAAAGAAAAAAGAAGGAAAGAAAGAAAGAAAGACGGAAACCTCAAGAAAGAAAGATAAAAAAAGCAAGTGAGAATGAAAAAGACAGAAACAATGAAACAAACAAACAAACAAACAAACAAAAAAGAAGACATCTTCATTTTTATTTTATTAATAAAATAAATGAATTAAAATAAATAAAAGTGAAGCAAGAAAGGATTAGGATACAAAAAGAAAGAAAGAACGAACGAAAGAAAGTATTTATAAAACAGAAAAAAAAGAAAAGGAGACACAAATGAAAGCAAAAAAAAAAAACAAGAAAAAAGAAAAGGAAAATAAGATCAAGAAAGAAAGAGAAATAAAAAAAAGAAAGTGAAAGAGAAAGAGAAAACTAACAAACAAAAAGAAGGTTGGTCTTCATTTTGTTTTTATTAATGAAGAGATATGAATAGAAATGAAGCCTGAATGAATAGGGGTATGTTAAGATAGAAAGAACGAAAGAGAAAGAAAGAAAGAATTTATAAAAAAAAAAAAAGAAAGGCTATTCATAAAGCTTAAAAGAAGGCAGAAATAAAAGTTCATAACCTGGTAAGGGTAGATTAATGTGATGTTCTACATAAGCACATTAAGGCACTCTGGTGACAGACAATTCCTTTGTGTTAGTTATGTAGAGATTATCACGTCCGGTCCTGTTTACAGAGCATAACGACCGTACATAAAAAAAGAACTGAATAATAGATGTGAACCTCAGCATTAACTTCATTGTTAAATCAAATGCTTTATTTGTGCTTGTGGAGGTTGACAATGCAAGTAGAAGCTTTATTTCATTGATATATTTTATTTAGCATTTTTAATATGTTTCTTTAACGTCAAGCGTCGTGTCATACCAGTGACGAGAAGTTGGATGATAATAAACGGGACAGAATGAAGGCTGAAGAGAATTTGTTTTGTTTTTTTCTTTACTAAACACGTACGCGGCACCACACCTCTATTTTCTATATGGGAATTTATTTGAGTTTCTTTGTATCCGTCTCTGTTTTTTTTTTCATCTGTCTGCCTGTCTCTCTCACCAAGTGGCACTTTCTGACTATAATATTTAAATTCAAATCTCACCATGGTCGATTTGTCAGCAAGGTGACTTCTTAATGTTAGCAGTCTGGAGGAGATGATCTTGGCATGCGGCACCTCTGGAAAATGACTGAAAACCGTACCACGGGTTGATCAAAGCCTTGTGGGTAAATGTGGGTAGACGGAAAATTCGTTCCGTCTATCCAATTTCACCCTCAACACAAATTTATGTTTGTTCAACACCTACACCTGCGGATTATATTGCAACTATACTGTAGCGGATGTTAGTTACTGTTTTTGAGAGAGAGAGAAAGAGAGAGAGAGAGAAAGAGAGAGAGAGAAAGAGAGAGAGAGAGAGTTATCTAGCATGATTAACAATCCGAACAATGCCAGCACGCTTAATTCCTCGGTCACAATGACTTGTGACTTCGTACTAGTACAACCTTCGACGGTTGCCATTGTATCCCACTTATCGTCAGTATATCTCTACTTTTTCAGTCTGTAAATAGCCAGTTTTTCTTCATGTACTCGATTGATCTTTTATCTCTAGCTGTTGTTCAGCTGCGTATTTCACGTATCTTGTTCTACATTTATATTGGGGTTTCTGCAAAGTCATTAATTTGAGCGTATAATAATAATACTAATACTACTAATAATAATAATATCTACACTGACACATATGGAAACATATTTAGCGAAACATATCTTAAAATGATATATCTATCTATCTATCTATTTATGTCTCTCTCTCTCTCTGTCTCTCTCTCTCTCTCTGTCTGTCTGTCTGTCTCTCTCTCAGTTTTGTCACCCGACATTCGTCATGTGTATATTGATCTGGCTAACCTACGTGGAATTCTAAGCTGATCCCTTTATTGAATAAACGGGTGTAGACTGTTCTCATTTCACTGCTCTTGTAGTGGGATATCTCGGCTAGTTCTTTTTATTTAGTACTGCTCAGTTATTGCTCACCTGGTTCCACTGAGTGCTAGTAAACACTGCCCGATCCAGGCATTGAACTCATACACACTACGTCACCAAATTCGCAAACCAACGCTTTTATCTACTTGACCATTGTCCCTTTAAAATAAACGTAAAATTACAACAAGGAAGCCGAAACGAAATACAAATGGCAGCAAGTCTTCAATCGCATCCGCAGGAACAACAATCAAAAGATGACAGACATCAGCATCAGCAGCATTTGCAACCTAATCAGCAGTTAGGTTAAGTTTAAGGCTTTAAGTTTACTACAACAAATTGTCCAATGGGATAAAATCATTGGTGTGTGAATCTGGTGAAATGGTTCCCAGTTCAATCCCAGGGTCGGGTAATCTGTACTTACACTCATTGATCTTACACTAAATAAAATAAGCACTAAACTATACAACTAGACCTGAGCATAAATTAAATAAAGTGTTTAATTCAGATTTGACCCAGATCAATATAGACCTGAGGAACATATTGAGAACAAGAGACTGAATATAAATAACGTTTAGTTTAGTCGGTGAGATAAAAGATGAAGTTGTACAAATGAACTATTTTTTTTCTAATTGTATTAATGCGATAATTTCAAAAAACGTAAACGTTATAAGCATGGAACTTAACATCAAAGTAAGTAAATCTTTAAATACATTTAGGTTGATGTCTTTTTGAATTGACTGAAGTATCAGATGTGATGAAACATTTTTATTCTTTTACTTTCAAGATGTTCATTAAAATATAAGTTAAAATGTCTCATTCAATTTAAAAATAACTTTTGACAAATAAGATATTTACATGCTTTAATTTTTCTCCGAATTTCTGGGATGAGGATTTATTATTATTTACTGAATTTATGTCTAGACTATTGTTCTCATCTTTGTTGTTGTTATCATGACGTTTCAACCGTTGTGTCCTCTGGCTTTCCTCAGGTGTATGTCAATTTGTCTATTAGCCGCTAATAAGGAAAGGCAAAGTCATCAACCACAGTGATCAAAATTTGGTCAGTTGCAATCTAATCAGCAGTCAGGTTAAATTTAAGGCTCTAAGTTTGTTGTGACCAAGTAAATGCTTAAAGAAATAACAAAACAAGTATTACAGATATATCATATATTAAACAGTAAGTACAACAGAAGAGTACTACACGACTAATGAGTGAGTGAGGGTTGACCCAGTGTTCAACTTATTCGACTGTTAATATTTACCAGACTTCCCACGAGGTAGGTTGTAGCACAAGGCCGAGTTTAATGTGGGGTAAATCAGGCCCGTAGGCTCGGCCAAAAAATCCCCATAGAACCCGTATAAAACGGGGTACGGTAGCTGTTTCCCCAGACGAGATTCTCCCCTTCGACATAGCCTCGTCTGGGGATCCTCTCTGCCCGGATGCAGAGAGTTTGACTATCACAGCCGGAACAGATCTATTCGACTGTTGATATTTAGTATCCAAACCACGAGGGTCGATGTAGCACACGGTCGAGTTTAACGTGGGTCAGGCCAAGCCCGTAGGCTCGGCCAAAAAATCCCCGTAGAACACGCATAAACGGCTTCAGGTCTCTCTACCTCCCCGGACGAGACTCTGCCCTTCGGCACAGCCTCGACCGGATTCCTCTCTGTCCGAAGGCAGAGAGTTCGTCAGCAGCTGCGAACTATCACAGCCCAGTAGAACAATCTATTAGAATCTTCCCTCAAGGCTTTCTCTCCTACTAATCTTATAGCAGGCGGAAGAGTCCAACATAGACTCTTTAGAGGGAGGACACCACAACAAATTTTACTACAGTAAATTGCCCTATGGGATAAAAGCATTGGTTTGTGAATTTGGTAAAATGGTTACGTGTTCAATCCAAGGGTTAGGCAGTGTGTAATTACAATATGTGTGCTTACACTAAATAACTTTAAGCTTTAAGTTTACTATAGTAAATTGTCCTACGGGACAATGACCTAGTGCTTAAAAGTTTGTTAATTTTGTGAATTCAATCCCAGTGTATATTTGCACTCAGTGGAAACGGGTGAGCAATAATTGAACAGTCTACCCCCGGACATTAGAAAAAGGATTCAGTTCAGAATTTCCTGTAGGTTACCCAAATTGATATACACCTGAGGAAGTTCATACGGTTCAACAACCGAAACGTTGTGAGATGAGGACAATTATCCGAATGTAAATAATAAAATTGATGAATGAAAATTATCTTTGATGCTCCCTAACATTTTTTTCATATAATCATTTCGCGTCGTAAGTTGCCAGAAATCTCTGGTAGGACTAACAATGTTCAAAATATCCATTCGTTTCTGTGCATAACATTTCTTATTCGTCTACGTCTGACTGAAAAATTTTCCTGGGGCGAAACGGCTTGCGCGGAAAACAATCTGATCGCTAACATTCCATAATAAGAGAACAATTGGCATTTTAATCGTGGCAACCATTCTCTTTAATCAACCGGTCGATTTATTTCCGGCCGTTACGAGTCACCATCCACAATTTATCTCTAAGTAATAGAGATGATGCTCGTCACCATTTCCCGTTGCGGAAATTGCCGATATCACATTACGGATATAACCGAACATTTCCGATACGACATAATGGGTCTAGTAATAGGCTTTGAGTGTGCCTATAAATGAAGAGCACATATTTTATACCGTCCGAGGGAGTCGAGGAATTCGTAAATGTATCGGGGTTAAACGGCACTGATTTTATTATTCTGAAGTAATTCTGAGGCAGTCAACCATGTTTATGGTTCAGTAATGTGACATGTAACCCTGTTGGTCAAAAGAAGCGAACTTAGAAAAATTTTAAAACCAACCCAGGAAAATTATTTACAAATAATAAAAGCGAGAAAATTCTGAGTTGTTGATTTAATTATTGTATGTACACACACACGCACGCATATATATATATATATATATATATATATATATATATATATTACATATGCAGGTACTTATTGGAAAGCGCTAAATATCAGTGATAGAGGGTCTAAAAACAACAAAAAAAAACAAAAATCAAACTCACATTAATACAACTATATATATATATATATATATATATATATATATATATTTTTAGTTGGATCGATGTGAGTTTTAGTGACCCTGGTTTCATGCTATTTGCCATCGTCAGAGTTTGTCTGACGATACCAAATAGCGTCAAAACCAGGGTCACAAACTCGCATCAATCCAACTAAATATGTTAACTCTATCACTGATAGTGAGCGCTTTCCAATAAGTACCGCGCATATATAATATATAAATAATATATATAATACTTGCATATATATATATCGACCAACTTCTAATCGACCAAACACCCCCGTTAGGGGAAACGCTGTTGCATAAGCTATAGAGGGGTGTTTGGTCAATTTGAACCTTTTAAAACTCTTTATTCTAGATTCAACGCCACCACCTGATAAGAAACCATAAGTGTTCAAACAAAATGACTATTTTTGTAGTGATTTTATAACATAATTATGTCATAATTTTAGAGTAAATTATCTATCTATCTATCTATCTATCTATCTATCTATCTATCTATCTCCCTCTCTCTCTCTATATATATATAAAAACATACACACATTTTTGTTCAAGCACTTTTGATTTTCACAGTCATTATCAACAATTCATTTTATGCGGCCTCGTTCCCAGTCACCGTTACACATGACGTCACGCTAAACCATTTCGAACAGCCAGCTTCCCAAAGAAAATCAGGATAGAGAAAAAGCAATTCTAACAACCACGCAAACACCACACCGTTTTTTAACTGAGATTGTTGGGTCTTCCCAAATCTATCCTGGAAATTATGTTAATATATCAAACTGGGCCTATCAAATCTTGAGCATGTTTTAAATGAAATGTCTTTCGGGGACGTCGGCGGTCATGACGCTTTTTTTTTCATTATCTATTAATTGAGATTATATCCTGGGAAAGATAGTGAAGTGGTTTCTTCATTTGCTTTCTCCACAGATTTGAATTCATGTCTCCCCTCTTCCGAGGCTTACCGAGGTTACTGAAGACTTGAAAGATTAATCCTCACTAACGAAATTTAACCTGAACTAAGAAGAAGGAATTGATTTATGCATTTCCTAAAATTAATTCAACTTACGAGAAAACTGAACTTAGAGATTCCGTGATGACAATTTTCAGTCTACAAACGCGCCCGCAGCAAATCTTACCATAGCTAAACACTGCAAATATAAAGAGGTAGGGAAAGATAGACATTGTTTTTCAAAACATATTTTCCTGAAAGTTAATTCGAACTCCAGTCGCCGATTTCATAATTCTCGTTTACTCTGAGAAAATATCTATTAATAAGCATTTTTAAAAATTTTTTATTATTTTCCGGTTTCTAATCTCTGTTCATTTCGTTTTTTTTTTTCCTTTTTTTTTTTTTGTCCTGCGTTACATTTTCTTCTTTTCAGTGTTTGTGTATTTGCTTTTCTGCTGGATCCCTCATAAGACCTATTTCCATCGTAAACCATCGAGGGACAATCTGCCTCAATCCAGCAATAGAAAACATCACTTCAACCTCGGCAGTTATGAACAACATTCTCTTGTGTTTTGTCCATTTCCATCAATCTTTGTTTTCCCAGTTCTTCTGCACGTCTCACCTTGTCGTCTGCATCTCCCAGGGCGATGTCTTTGCCTTAATCAAAGTAATTAAAACGTGATTAATAGGGGTTGAGATCCGCAGAGGTAATTTACCTGTATTTTTTATTTATTTTGTTTCTAAACACGAGTAAATCGCTCCCGGAGTGATTGAAGGGAGATTTTTTTAAAAATAGTAAGATTTACAAAATAAAGAAAAAACAGTTGAACTAAATAAATCTCCGAAGCCATTAGAATCAAATAATGATATCCGTTTATATATTATTTTGCTCAGTTTCTTATATTCGACGTATTATCGTACATCTTTCCATTGGTCAGCGTTCGGACTCAAGTAAAATGGCCAGGAAAACGAAATCTGATTTTAAAGCAGGTCTCTGAGTTCTGTAATAGCAGACGCCAGAAAATTGGACGGAAACATTCTAAGGCTGAGCAGTATAGCGAAAGATGTCTTTCAGAAAGGTAGCGATGTATTAAGACAAATGGAAATATCATTAGAAGCAAAGAGAATATTACTAATTTACTATGTACTATTTCTTTATATGACATTAAAGGTTGCATAATTTACTTAAGTATCAAAAAGTGCCTTGAAGCATAACAAGTGCTGAATACTAAGAAGCCGAGACAAATAGAGAAAACAATGTAATCTTCGTAATGCTCGTTGGAGCTGGGACTTTGTAATCGCAGATAAAACTATAGTAACGCTGTTGAATAGTACTGGTGTCAGACGCGTTCGAATAACATTCGCACTAATAGTACGTGTTCGATAATACTTGCTCGAAAGTAATCACTGTATAGTAATCTGAATAGAGAAATAGTCTAGTGAATAGAGTAAAGAATATTGGTCCGTATAGTAACAGAGGATAGAACAGAAATGCAGATCTGAATAGTATAGAGGATAGACTAGAAATAGCGATCCGAATAGTAATAGAGGATAGAATAGAAATGGCGTTCATTAGTCGTCAGTTACTTCCTACATATATGCATTTCCTCTATGGCCACGTGGTCTACTTAATTTAATAATGGGATCGCATGTGTTTGCGATCTGTGTTCAAACCCAAGTGTCGGCAGCGACAGTTTATTCCTATATAACAGTAATGTATATTTACAATCAGAAGAATTGAGTCGAAATATTAGAGTCACCTAATAATGGCGTAGGGAATTTAACGTTCACAGATATTGAATATAGAAGCATAAGTGTAAAGTACATGAGTTTTTACCAATGGATGCCCTAGAGCTTGAAATTCTTAGAGCAAAAAAGAACAGGATGTGGTGGAGCGATATACCCTGAAGAGGAACTGCACATCAAAAGTAAGACATTGATTCATTGAGATACCATTGGCACTTCACCATGGTGTAATGCTTAGCAAGCTTGTCTAGCTAGATTCCTAACGACAGAATAGTGAGTTCAATCCTCACTGGGTGCCCCATACTTGCAGACTTGTGTCACATCTCAGCTCCATTTTGTAATGACATATACGTCTTTATCTTTTTTTTATGTCTTGTCTCTGATATGGATAAACGGCGTATTAGTCGATTTATTGCACTAAGCTTAAATGAATTTCCAAAAATATGAGGTTAGTAATGATGACTTCAGCTCTTGAAGAAGCATATAACATTGCCCTGGTTTCGGCTGAGGGTCTTTCAAAACAATATTAAGCTCAAACTCCAGGGAAGACATTCCCTTTTAGGCAGTAACTCTCATTGGATGAGGTTCGGGTCATTACCCGGCGCCTGATGGATCCCTAAAAAGGGGAAATGCCGGTGGGTTTTGATCAATTTTCCCATCGTATTGCTGTTAAACCCACTTTAAAATGACCTTATATCTAATTTGGTAGTGACAAGGGTAAAAAAAAAATTCACCCTTGAACAAGTACATTATTTTGAACTTGCTTGCTGTTCGTGATTTAGCTTATTTTAATTCATTTATTTGTTTATTTATTTATACACCCATAAGCACCTCAATAGAACACAATGAAAAATACCGAATCAACAATTAAAAAAAATATATCTTTAAATTATTGGATACCATTTTTTTTAATATCTTCGTTAGATGACTTTTCGGTTACAGAAAATAGCATAATCAAACAAGAAAAAATAGAACTATATCTAAGAAATATTTAAATGTCAAATATCACATCAATTAAACAGCAATCGTTCAAAACTATTTACATAAAACCGCTTTAAATTAAAATACTTTTAAAGAAATCATTTCCCAAGCAGGGTCATATCGTCCACCGATGAGCGATTTCAACTATTGGGCGACTAAAAAATTTTGGTAGGCGATATAATATTTTGAGTAATAAAAATATATTTGAACATATGCTACCCGAAAAATAATATTCAAAGGCGATATGTAAAGAACTTGTATTTAAAAAAACAAAACAAAAGGTTAAATGAGGAATAATTGGGTTACATCCCTTCATAAATATGAATATCCCCGCAAACAAGGAATGTGTTAATATTTCCTTTAGTTTTGAGAAGAGCCATTAATATGTCTGCAGGTGAAATAACATATTTTTTTTTTTAATATAAATCACTTCTGGGAAGTCCACGAACAATTTTGCTAGTAAAAATTAAGAAGTTACCTCGGGATAATGTTTGTTTAATATAAAATTAGTTTTACATTTTTTTATCACATTGGCAATCTCGAATTTATCAAGGCAGGAAAAGTGTCCGTCAAAACATAATTTAAGTATAAGAATAAAGTATCTATTACTTTACCTATTACAGTGTTACCCGGATATAAGAGACCCGGATATAAGAGAAACCCGGATATAAGAGAGATTTTCTCTAGTCCCAAATTAGAGCCCATACTTACCTAAACAAAATAGACCAAACCCGGATATAAGAGAAACCCGGATATAAGAGACGTCTTCTCCGGTCCCGACAACTCTCTTATATCCGGGTTACCCTGTATGCTTTTGAATATTTATTATACAGAGGGGGGGGGTAACAAATTTCCATATGAAAGTGCGCGATGACGCATAAAATGTTGGGTACCCCTGCCTTAAACGGTAATCAGTATGATACGCAATTTTTTATTTTTAAATTCCTTTAAAAAACCTCGAGTTGCTCCCAGCACGGGCCATTACTCGTGATGATTTCAAGGAATCCATACCGATTTATTTTAAAACTGTATATAAATACTATAATTTGTACATACCAGACGGTGGTATTTGAGTGTTTTGAGGGGTTATTCGAATAAAATAATAACTTTCTGCTGTAAAAGTGGGCGCTTGGTACGATTCACACCAGAAAATACGAGATGTTTGAATCGAATTTAATCTACGTCAGAAACCTTGGCCTATGAATTGATCTGTGTTGAAAGCATATATATATACTGATTTCACCCTAAACAAAACGTAAATAGATTTTGGAACTAATTGTCGATTAAAGAAAAAAATCAAATGACCCTGGAACCCCGAACCGACCTGGCGACCACAAGATGCGAAATATTTCTTTCAAGGATACGGTCGGTGCACAAATATAAGTAAAATGTACCTGCTGAACTGAAACGACAGCCGGATGACATGAAGTTATATAAACGTCCAGCCTACGAGAGTAGAAACAAAACTCATTACATCCTCGCAAGAAGATCAAACATTGGAAGGAAGGCCCGAAACTACAAACCGTTGATATAAACGACCTTAATTTGACTGAGTGCAGGAATGAAGAAACAGTTACAGTGTAACCCGGATATAAGAGACCCGGATATAAGAGAAACCCGGATATAAGAGATATTTTCTCTGGTCCCAAATTAGAGCATGTGTTAATGTATATAAAATAGACGAAACCCAGATATAAGAGACTTCTTCTCCGGTCCCGACAACTCGTTTATATCCGGGTTACACTGTATTTTACGTTTGAAAAATGGACTCCATATAGTTATCAGACGTTTACATTACAAAAAGTAACTTTGCTATTGATAGGAAATTATTTGGAAATTTCAATAACCAATTATGATGAAATTTTGGACGTTTTGATAGAAAGTAGGACGATAAAAGTGGTGTCAGGTGACCTGGAACCGTGTTATGGATTGATAATAAGAAAGCTTTTTTTTTTCAATCACTTTGATTCAGTTTTGGTCGGCTTAAAAAGAAGGCCCGACAATTGAAGATCGAGCGACTGAATTCTTGCCTGTGTGTATATATATATATATATATATATATATATATATATATATATATATATATAATATATAAATATAACCGTGTAAGTAATGCAGCACTCATTATCCCACTCTTGAGCCGATACACGCATCCATTTTTAAATGCCATTTATTTCCAAGAAAACCTCGCATGTAAACAATTTTCTACGGTTCTCTGCGTTTTTAGCAAACTATTGGAAACAATCACTAACAGGTGCACGAAATGTCGCTAAGCTTGGAAATGTTTTATATATAAGTTTTCTTTCCTAAAGTTCTAGTTTCTGGTTTCTCTTCCTTAGGTTTTCTTGATGTTTATTAAACGTTTCTGGTTCTGGAATAATGTTGCATAGCTCCCCTGGTTGCGGTGGCCTTATCTTGTCTTCTCTCGGCCGGCGATTGCAAATTTGCATTTGTTCAGCAATGAAAGACTTCAAACATAAAGTATTTTAACTTACCTATTTTTATTAATCATGTCGAAATGTGCATTATCTATCCAGTGGGGTTGCCCCCTTCACTGGGGGGCCGTTTCGGACACAAAAAAGAGAACGTCTCCATCGCTTAACCAACTTGCTGAAACCTTCCTACTCTTTATCTTTCCCACGCTAGCTCAGCCAATCAAAATCGACTTCCGTATTATGGCTCACATATGAACTTGAATATCAACCTCCGGAAACCGGAGCCGAGATACACTTTCCCTAAAAATAATAGTCTGTTAAAATATTATTTAATAATAAGTTTACAACTATATAACACCCGCTGAGGATTAAAACCATTATATTAACAATGGTTTACAAGATAATTGTCCGCAGTATTATTAGAAAGATTCATACCATTATTTATTTCTTAAGTTGAGATTAGTCTGATATAAAAGCATAGGAGAGGGGCGACTAGTGAGGATCGAACTCATTACACTTGAAAATTGCTTCAGGGGCCAAGTTTGCTAACCATCGTGCTACGGTAGGAAACACTCTTCGATCTTTTGTTTAATAAGTTTTTTTAATTGTTTTTTTTAGCTTATTTTACTTTTTTCTAGTCTTTCATTCTTTCTTTCTTTTACTTTTCAATGCTTTTTCTTTTTTCTTTCACTTTTCAGTAGATCTTTCTTTCTCTTTTCAATAATTCTTTCTTTCTTTCAATTTTCAATGCTTCTTTCTTTCTTTCTTTATTTCATTCTTTCTTTCATTTTTCAATCCGTCTTTCTTTCTTCCTTTCACTATTCAATGCTTCTTTTTTTCTTCCTTTCAGTTTTCAATCCTTCTTTCTTTCTTCTTTTTTTCTTCCTTTCAGTTTTCAATCCTTCTTTCTTTCTTTCTTTCAATTTTCAATGCTTCTTTCTTTCTTTCTTTCTTTCATTTTTCAATCCGTCTTTCTTTCTTCCTTTCACTATTCAATGCTTCTTTTTTCCTTCCTTTCAGTTTTCAATCCTTCTTTCTTTCTTTCTTTCAATTTTCAATGCTTCTTTCTTTCTTTCTTTCTTTCATTCTTTCTTTCATTTTTCAATCCGTCTTTCTTTCTTCCTTTCACTATTCAATGCTTCTTTTTTTCTTCCTTTCAGTTTTCAATCTTTCTTTCTTTCTTTCTTTCTTTCTTTCAATTTTCAATGCTTCTTTCTTTCTTTCTTTATTTCATTCTTTCTTTCATTTTTCAATCCGTCTTTCTTTCTTCACTATTCAATGCTTCTTTTTTCGTTCCTTTCAATTTTCAATCCTTCTTTCTTTCTTTCTTTCAATTTTCAATGCTTCTTCCTTTCTTTCTTTCAATTTTCAATGCTTCTTTCTTTCTTTCTTTATTTCATTCTTTCTTTCATTTTTCAATCCGTCTTTCTTCCTTCACTATTCAATGCTTCTTTTTTCGTTCCTTTCAATTTTCAATCCTTCTTTCTTTCTTTTCTTTCAATTTTCATTGCTTCTTTCTTTTCTTTCTTTCAATTTTCAATGCTTCTTTCTTTCTTTTCTTTCTTTCATTCTTTCTTTCATTTTTCAATCCGTCTTTCTTTCTTCAATATTCAATGCTTCTTTTTTCGTTCCTTTCAATTTTCAATCCTTCTTTCTTTCTTTCTTTCAATTTTCATTGCTTCTTTCTTTCTTTCTTTCAATTTTCAATGCTTCTTTCTTTCTTTCTTTCTTTATTTCATTCTTTCTTTCATTTTTCAATCCGTCTTTCTTTCTTCACTATTCAATGCTTCTTTTTTCGTTCCTTTCAATTTTCAATCCTTCTTTCTTTCTTTCTTTCAATTTTCATTGCTTCTTTCTTTCTTTCTTTCAATTTTCAATGCTTCTTTCTTTCTTTCTTTCTTTCTTTCTTTATTTCATTCTTTCTTTCATTTTTCAATCCGTCTTTCTTTCTTCACTATTCAATGCTTCTTTTTTTGTTCCTTTCAATTTTCAATCCTTCTTTCTTTCTTTCTTTCAATTTTCAATGCTTCTTTCTTTCTTTCTTTCTTTCAATTTTCAATGCTTCTTTCTTTCTTTATTTCATTCTTTCTTTCATTTTTCAATCCGTCTTTCTTTCTTCCTTTCACTATTCAATGCTTCTTTTTTTCTTCCTTTCAGTTTTCAATCCTTCTTTCTTTCTTTCTTTCAATTTTCAATGCTTTTTTCTTTCTTTCTTTTTTCAATTTTCAATGCTTTTTTCTTTCTTTCTTTTTTCAATTTTCAATGCTTCTTTCTTTCTTTATTTATTTCATTCTTTCTTTCATTTTTCAATCCGTCTTTCTTTTTTCCTTTCACTATTCAATGCTTCTTTCTCTCTTCACTATTTAATACTTTTTTCTTTCCCTTTTCAATGCTTGTATAATTTATCCCATTATCAATGGTTCTTTATTTATTTAAAAGTCCCATTTTTATTTTCATTTTTTATGCTTTTTTCTTTCTTTCTTTTTTCTTTCCTTCTAGTTTCTCATACTTTTTACTTTTTCTTTCTTTCTTTCTTTCTTTCTTTCTTTCATCTAGTTTTTCTATGTTTCTCTCTTTCGTTCTTTACTCATTTTTCCTTCCTCTTTCGACCTTTGCCCTCTTTTTTTCTTTACTCAGTTTATCCTTTTTCTTTTGAGATTTTCCCACTTCGTTTCCCTCCTCCCCTTTTTCCATTGATGTGTCACTTGTAATATATTCTTTAAACTCATTTTTCTTGTCCATTCACGATTCATGTCTACATGCAAAAAGAATAACTTTTTACTTGATACACTCTTCACACTCAGAACGGTTTGATAGGGTCTTTTCGGCATCATCAAAATTATTGCCAGCCCGAAGCCTAAATAAAACCAAGCACCGGCCATAATCACAAGACCCGCCTCCACCACACTCAGCCGCACCGTTTCCCGCCAAAACATGATCATCATTAAACTCTATTGTTCCTGCCAGCATTATTGGTGCTACGTGGAATGAAATGGTCGTTCGGCGTGCTATTTAAAATCCCTGTCTTATATAAAGTAAACGTAATGAACAATAATTGCATACGCAGATACGTCCATCATTCTGGCCATTAAAATATCTCAGATAGGCCAGGAAATGCTCTGACCTGAATGATTCACTTATACAAATAGTTTAACCCAGCCAAAGTTTTGTATGGCAATAATGGCTTCATTTGGTAGTAAAAGTAAGTATTTGGGGTTTGGTAGACCACTAAATCAAACATAGATCTGATATTTTTCTTTCTGGAACAAAAAAAAATTATTTTCATATTTCCTAATATTGGTTAGTGAAGCAAAGGGTAAAGTGGGGACTCTACCAAATATGTTGATTGTTAAATACAGTATGAATTTGAGAGATATATTATTAACATTCCTAAGTTTATCTGACAACGATTACATGATTTATCAGAAAAAAAAATTATAATGAGAACATTGTGATGATCATTTTTTACAGGGAGGAAGATATACTTGCCTTCTTTGAAAATCGGATTCTTCGCTTTTAACTGAGTTTGGGTGGTTGCCATTAGAATCTGATTGTAAGCACAAGAAGCGTTCAGCTTCGAAAAAATCTTTACTGAAATTGTTAGTCTTGTAAGCGATTGAACGAGAAGTCGTGTAAATTGATTTAGAATAATATTTAAAAACTAGAATAAATTAAAGACAATGCTAAAAGGCAAAGGGAAAAAAGAGAGAAAGAGAACAAACCAGTTAAAATAAAAGCAAATAAACAAAAGAAAATTATCTAAGGCGTAAAATCACAGAGAAAACAATAAAGATATTGAAAAATAAAGAAAGAAAGAAAGAAAGAAGAAAAAAGAAAGATTTAGAAATACCCATGTAAAACAAAACTTGAATATTTCAGAAAAGAACTCTAAAATAAGAATAAAAGATGATACTATATTAGTAGCATTACGTCAGTTTACAAAACTTACTGAAACTCACAAGGTATTCCCAATTCATAAAAATTCTTGCGAAAAACTCTATAAATTTATTTTTTCTCGCTGGTGGATAATTTTTTTCGTTAGAAAAAAAACCCCAAGAATTTGTTTCTTTAATCTTTAAGCACTTATAATACTGGACAAATATCTACTCCTGGTGCAGCTCCCAAGAGTAACAGAAACCTTGTGCCATGCATTATCTATAAAAGAGACAACTTAGACATCAAATGGAGTATTTCCGCCATGTCTGGGATTGAAGCTGCCAAATTCTCACTTTCCAGCCTTAATAGAATTCACAATAGCTGACTTCCTTGTGTTGATAACAGACTCTTTCTCACCGACATAAGTTTTCTAGCGTATCACAAATCTATCGCTATTTCCATGTCAAATGTACAGGTGATCCCCTATTTTCAGTTCCATCAGTTCATGCCATTACAGCTCGGACTCGCCGCATAATATAATAACCCATATTTCCACCACATTCCCTTCGTAAAACTCCGTTAAACAAACTCCTGTGTGGTTGCTTCCCTGAAAAATCTTAATCTTATCTATCCCCCTTATCCTCATAATTTTTACTTCCTTATATCCCCACTTATCTTTTCTTACATCCAGTAAGTTTCTACTTTGTGTGACTAATGAGACATTGCTGGATTACTTGTTAACCAACTTTGGAATATTTCTAACGACATGTATCTGCAAAAGTGACGGATATTGTTTTAAACAGGAGACTCTGGCATAGTACAAGACACTTTGAATGCAATATGAAAATAGGCTTAATATCTAGCACGGCCTCGAAACCCCAACTTCACTGACAGAATCAACGAGATAAAAAAAAAAAAAAAAAACGGGAGCTGACCAGGCTACGCGAAAGCAAGGAGCTAATATCCTACATAGGTTCACTGTGATAACGTACTGCCAAAAAACAGATGTCTGAAAGAAAGAACGCTAAGTGAATTCTTCATTCTAGAGTGAGAAAAGTTTGATGAAGCTGGTAATTTTACACGGATTACCTCCCTAAAGAGAATGCTGTTTTCAAGTATAAGGAAGAGGAGACAATAATAACAGAGTTGCTTAAATTTCTGTACAAAAATGTGTCTATTTGCTACGTCGCTCGTTTCCCCTGAGTGACGCTGCGTTTGTCAGCTAATCTTTAGTAGAGGCCAAACAAAACTGTTTAGTCCAGTGTACCAAAGTGTAATTACTTGGAATATTCCCCAATGGGAGATTGATCAGCTACATAAATCAATGAGGAAAACAGAAGGAAGCACATATAACAAGATCATTTTCGAATAAGCTAAAACTACGACAATGATAAATTCGTTGTATTGATATATTTTCTCTTTTATTTATATTTAGAACAGTTATTTCATTAACTAAATGCTTCTCAAGCCCAACTCCAAATTTGTTCGATCACAGATGATTGTCCCAACGCCGGGAGGCTGAGGATAGCGAGTCATGTTACACGTGCGACGTGATAGCTGGACAGATGCTTGCAGGAGACGCCAACAAGGAGCACCAGAGTCGAGTTTTGGCCGAGGTTGCCAGCCTCACGACACTCGATCAAAATATATATATATATATATATATATATATATATATATATATATATATATTATAATTATTTTATTTAAAAATATGATTCCATCTCTACACAAAAAAATAATTATAATCTAAAATAATTATAATCTAGGCTCTACTTGTATCGAGCTCTGTTTTTAAAAATAAAACAAAAAATTCTAAAGAACTTCGGATCATCATTCGAACGGTTCTTTTCTATTTTATCAATATATTTGCACACACGTACACGTATAAACACACACACACACACACACACATATATATATATATATATATATATATATATATATATGGTATATATATATATATATATATATATATATATATATATATATATATATATATATATATATATATATATATATATATATATATATATATATTTCCAAGAAGATAGAATTCAGGTAGAGCTCAATGTCCAGGACATAGCAAGAATATAATATAAAAGCCATCTTTTTTTTCTACGACTCTCATTTTATACCAATCTGTCTTGTCCACAGAATTGATCTGGGAATTTAACTATATTGTCGACATGAAAAAAAAATCCCTTAATATAAAGGTAATTTACATTAACCAGAAAAAAAGGCTTAGACAGAAGCGTCTATCTTTTTTAAATTTGGATTTTTTAATGTAACTATAACAACAGAAACATTTCGATTTCATTTTTGCCTTGAAAAATTCGGAAGACGAATCGCGTCGGCAAAATCTAAGATTTTTTTCCAATTGTCATTTTATACCATATATATATATATATATACATACATACATATATATATATAGTGTAACCCGGATATAAGAGAGTTGTCGGGACCGGAGAAGAAGTCTCTTATATCCAGGTTTCTCTTATATCCGGGTCTCTTATATCAGGGTTACACTGTATATATATATATATATATATATATATATATATATATATATATATATATATATATATATATATGATTATTACAAATAAGACGATCATCATTATTCTAAAGTTGCCGAAAATCTATCATTGGAAAATAATAAAAGAATGTAGGTGCTTCGGGTGTGGGTCAAGATTCGCCAGGTTGACAAATACTATTGAGTAATGCATTCAATTCTCACCAGGTGCCCCATACAAAAATCGACATTGCATAACCCACAGCTGTTGGATATCGTAAAATCATATGACCAGAAAGACGATATCATATGTAGTATATTACGTAAGTTTGCAAAATGTAAAAAGTCTCTTAAGCGGTATCCGGTTCATAAAATAAAGAAGAAAATTTTCAGATAAGCAAAAATAAGCACAATAAATTGTCTAGCATTCTTAAAGTTAATCTTTTTCCATATAAAATATTGCTGTCACAAATGGTCCGGCACATCTGCTATTTACCTGGATCTCCTTGATAAGATCCAAAGAAGATTCAGCAATATTATTGGCTCTGATCTGGGGTCTCAACTTCAGACACTTTCTCACTGCCGTAAGTTTTTCCCCATGCGTCTTTTTATAAATACATTCATGGTATCTGTCTATATTTCTCAGATGAGGTATTATGTACACTATTTACATTATTCGGACTATTGTCCTCATCTTTGTCGCCATATTTATTACAACGTTTCAGCCATTGTACGCTCCGGCCTTCTTCAGGTGGTTGGGATATCGAACTGAACCCTTTATTTAGCTCACTGGGGTAGACTGTTATAGTTCCATGTGCCATGTTTAATGGATATCACTTATCAGTTATCTCTTGTTAATTCCCCTCTCCAAGTTGACCACTGCCTTAACCGGGTATTGAAATCACACTCTTTGGGTTCTGTCACTGGATCTAACCAACGCCTTTATCCACTGTGCCATGTGTACTTGAATTAACAGATTGAAGGGGAGTCAAAATTTGCATATGTGTTCGAAGAGAGATATAAAAAAATGCAAGAACCAAAGGACGTGATAGCAGTAATCATCAATTATGTTTAGTTTGCATTTTGTTTTGATTTTAGTTTATTATTGGCTTCATCTCCCCTCCCCTCTCATGTTATCATTATTAGAATTTTATGTATATTGTCTATCTTCATCAAATTTTTATGGCGTGGGGCGCGTTTTTGTAGGTTCCCCTGGAGAGGATGTGGTATTATGGTGGATGGAGGATTGAACGGTGATGGATGAGTTCTTGTGGTGAATGAGTAAATTGTAATGTATGAATGGGTCGTGAATCTGAT